AAAAAAGAAAAAACACAACAAATTCCTGGTTAATTATTCTCGTCTGGAGTTCCGTATTAAATGAACTGCAACTGACATAATTTAATGACTATTTCATATGAAGAGACAACTGTCATTAGATCTATTTAAAGATTATTAACTCATATGGCGCGAAAATATCATTAAATGGCGCGAAAAAAGCTTAAGGCTATCGCATTAACACAACAGTGCAAAGAAGGTAAAAATCGGTCGAATTCCCGCATTACCCGTCGGACTGGCATAATAAACCTAGAATGAGTTATATGTACATACCATTTTCCGTCGGCGGACTTTTGTCATAATTAGTCAGTGCAAAGGTGATCACACTTCGCAAATGTTTTATTTTCTCCTATTTCTAAATGCCCCGAAAAAACAAAGGGCTTGTTCTATATATATCTTAGGAGACGGAATTTCTTGATAGTAAGTTCAAAAAATGTCCATTTTTATTCAATTGTTATCATTATGCATTAAACTTAAGAATGTTTATAATATTAAATGTCAAAATGAGGAAAAATGGAAATGTTGCAGGGTCGGTTTGTTTGAGCCTGTTTTTGAACGTTAGTGGTGAATGCCGGGCAACATAAATGCCCTTCAGCACATTTTTAGTCTGAGGTCAGCAGTTAGACTCAGTTCGTATTTAGAACCGTTTTCAAGGTTTTTACCGTTTCGCAATGATTCCATGCATGCAAACGTCAGTTCAAAGGAAAAAATTAAACATTTTTTTTTCAAATAATTATGTATTTTTTTCTGATATAAAACAAAACAAAAATATGTAAACTAGAGACAATATTTTTAATTATATAGATTAATACATTTTAAACTCCGAAGATAATTGAGTAAAAACTGTTGTTAGGAGATTAAGAAAAATATATATCAAACATACAACATACGTAACGAATATACAAGTACAATCTCTTAACGAAAGTGCACGAGAAAAATATGCAGTTGAATTATCTCAAAATTAATGGTGAATTGGATCTATACGTCAATTGATGCGCGTCAAATGGTAATTCTAATACGCTTCACACTATTCCCCTATCAAAAAGATATGATTATCACACGGTATATGCACAGCATAAAACATAAAAACGAAAGCTTACACGTCATACGATGTCATATATGACGTCAATTAACCAAATATCGCTTTCTTGGGCGATTCTAACATTTTTTTCATTCATTATATATGGTATGTGAATAGTTGAGATAGACGTTTTAAAATGCATTTCGGTAGGCGATAAGCTTCATTATCAAGCGTTTTGTTCGGTCTATACCGGAATATGGTATTTAGTGTGGTGGTCCAACACTTCTTAACCTCTCTCAATGATTAATAAGGTTTAAGGGTTTTTAAAATCATCAAGCATGTTTCTTGGTGCAGGTAAGATTATATTTTATTAAGCTAGTCACAACTCATTCATACAGAGCTAGAGTACGTATATTTACTAAGCATGCGCAGTAAACATTATAAGTAAAGCATCATGGGAAGGTCTGTTACAATAAAAGCATCACAAGTTATTTTGCTCAGTATTGCTGTTACTTCAATTTATATAGACAAAGATTGGAAATGTCAGTTCTCAACCAAAAACGTAAGGAATAAAACCCTTGCACAAATACAGCTTGGGAGAAAAAAAGAAGAAGAAAGAAAAGAGTTTATATTACATTTAAGTTATATGGAAGTTATACAAAATACAGATGATTATGATAGTGTAAGGAAATCAGATCTTCAATTTAAAGGGTATGCGGCGAAACAAGTAGGTAAAGAATACTCTGTTTTCATGTTAATTTCAGATTTTATATTTGATTTTATTAGATGGATTGTATATGTGATGTAGATGGAAAACCCAGTGCATTATATACATGTATACATACACCAGTCCTGATATTTCTGAAGGATTTCAATAATAAGAAATTTTGTTGTAAAGATAATAAGTTTTTGACACAATATATAACAGGACAGCAAATTAATTTCACCTAGTGCTACGAAATAGCGCAAATTGTGACTTTCAAAATACCAAAATGACCGAGTTAAAGCGAATTATGCTACTTGTTAAGAAATGATGACGTTCTTTAAATAACTTATATTTGTACAGTTCTTTATAATTTCTTGATAGTTATATAAATAAGTGAATCAGGAGGTTTGTCTGGTATCACTACGCTCCATACGTTCGTTACGGACCGCCGTTGATGAACACTTTAATTTGTTGTTTTTTTTACTTATTGATAGTCATGTCTGTATGACTGTAATAATCCGAAATAGAATTAAATTGTAACTCAATTGCCGTTTCAACACAATTTACAGCGTCATCTGTGAAAACGAATACATGCAATATCATGAATTTCATTTGTCATGTGAATGGCTCGGTGATTTGTTTGTTCGCACAAAGCGATCGAATACTTCTTAAATATACTTTATTAAAATTTCATTCCTTCTAGAAAAGTTCTCTTTGTTCTTGTGTCAATGGTTACACTGCAGAACAGTTATATTCCCTCTGAGTGAAACGACTTTAGTTGATGAAGAAAATAGTGTTGAACAGCCTTCTTATGTTGTTCTATTCTTTATCAATGTCAAAAAAAACAGCATTGTTTATTCATACACGTCAAGATATTGGTTCCTTGTTATCTCTGTTAGTACATAATAATCATCTCCTTGACAAAAACATCATTTTTGAAGTTACACCAAGAATAAAACAAAAGGACAAGAGGGCCATGGTGGCCCTGAGGTTGCTCACCTGTATAAAGGCACCAGGAGCGGGGCCAGTTTAAACCCCAGGGCTTTTATTTGAACAAACTTGGAAGACACCCGGCAGGGCCAATTTTAAACCAAGGGCTTTTATTTGAACAAACTTGGTAGACACTTATAAGAAGATGTTTCATGCTAAACATCTAAGCTCTAGCTCATTGGGCTTTTTTAAAAGACGATTTTTTAAGTTTTTACTATACACATAAAATTAAAACCAATGACACCCCTGGGGCGGGCCCAATTTTGACCCCAGGGCTTTTATTTGAACAAACTTTGTAGACAATTACTAAAAGATGTTTCATGCTTAATATCTTAACTCTAGCTATCAAGGTTTTTTCAAAGAAGACTTTTAAGTTTTTGCTATACAAATATAAGGAAAATCAATAACACCCGGGGTGGGGCCAATTTTGACTCCAGGGCTTTTATTTGAACAAACTTTGTAGACACTCACTAGAAGATGTTTCATGTTTAATATCTAAACTCCAGCTTTTTGGGTTTTTTCAAAGAAGATTTTTTAAGTTTTTGCTATATACATATAAGGAAAATCAATGACCCCCGGGGCGGGGCAAATTTTGACCCCGGGGCTTTTATTTCAACAAACTTGGTAGACACCAATTAGAACATGTTTCATGCTAAATATCTTAGCTCTAGCTCTTTGAGTTCTTTAAAAGAAGATTTCTTTAAGTTTTTACTATATGCATATAGGGAAAATCAATGACCCCCTGGGGCGGGACCAATTTTGACCCTAGGGCTTTTATTTGAACAAACTTGGTAGACACTCACTAGAAGATGTTTCATGCTTAATATCTAAACTCTAGCTATTTAGTTTTTTTTTAAAGAAGATTTTTTTAAGATTTTACTATATGCATTTAGGGAAAATCAATGACCCCCTGGGGCGGGGCCAATTTTGACCCAAGGGCTTTTATTTGAACAAACTTGGTAGACATTCATTAGAAGATGTTTCATGCTAAATATATTAGCTCTAGCTCTTTGAGTTCTTTAAAAGAAGATTTCTTTAAGTTTTTACTATATGCATATAGGGAAAATCAATGACCCCCTGGGGCGGGACCAATTTTGACCCTAGGGCTTTTATTTGAACAAACTTGGTAGACACTCACTAGAAGATGTTTCATGCTTAATATCTAAACTCTAGCTATTTAGTTTTTTTTTAAAGAAGATTTTTTTAAGATTTTACTATATGCATTTAGGGAAAATCAATGACCCCCTGGGGCGGGGCCAATTTTGACCCAAGGGCTTTTATTTGAACAAACTTGGTAGACATTCATTAGAAGATGTTTCATGCTAAATATATTAGCTCTAGCTCTTTGGGTTCTTTAAAAGAAGATATTTTAAGTTTTTACTATATGCATAAACGGAAAATCAAAGACCCCCGGAGGCGGGACCAATTTTGACCCCAGGGCTTTTATTTGAACAAACTTGGTAGACACTCATTAGAAAATGTTTCATGCCAAATGTCTAAGCTCTAGCTCATAGGATTTTTTAAAAGAAGATATTTAAAGGTTTTTATTTCGGTTACCATGGCAACCAGAGTTCTGCATGGAATGGAATTCTTTGAACAACTTTGTTAAGGCTTCACACAAGGAACATTCCTGAAAAGTTTCATTATGATCTGCCTTATGGTTTCAGAGGAGATGTCGTTTTAAAAGTTTGAACGGACAACGGACGACGGACGACGTACAACGGACAACGGACGACAGACGACGGACGAAGAGTGATCCTAATAGCTCACCCTGAGCATATGCTCAGGTAAGCTAAAAACAAATAATAACACAAATAGGAACTTACAAACAAAACATCATTTGCGCACTTTCATACAATATACTATTTAAAGCGTTATATTTGTTTCAAGGGCAAACAATTCCATGTAAAATATGAAATATAACCAGAGTAGTTACTTCCCTTGATCAACATCATATCCAAGTTGCCACCAGAAGCTATACATACTGTTTTATCCAACTTGCCACTAGAAACTATACATACTGCTTTATCTAACTTGCCACCAAAAGTTATACATACTGTTATATCCAACTTGCTGACAGAAGCTATACATACAGTTATATCCAACTTGCCAACAGAAACTATACATACTGCTTTATCCAACTTGCCAACAGAAACTATACATACTGCTTTATCCAACTTGCCAACAGAAGCTATACATACTCTGTTATATCAAACCTACCAACAGAAACTATACGTACTGTTATATCCAACTTGCCGACAGAAACTATACATACTGTTATATCCAACTTGCCAACAGAAACTATATATACTGCTTTATCAAACTTGCCCACAGACGCTATACATACTGTTATATCAAACTTGCCAACAGAAATTATACATACTGCTTTATCCAACTTGCCAGCAGAAGTTTTACATACTGCTTTATCCAACTTGCCATCAGAAGCTATACGTTCTGTTATATCAAACCTACCAACAGAAGCTATGCGTACTGTTATGTCCAACTTGCCGACAGAAACTATACGTACTGCTTATCCAACTTGCCACCAGAAGCTATACATACTGCTTTATCCAACTTGCCAACAGAAGCTATATATACGTTCTGTTATATCAAACCTACCAACAGAAACTATACGTACTGTTATATCCAACTTGCCGACAGAAACTATACGTACTGATTTATACAACTAAATGCCAACAGAAGCTATACATACTGTTATATCCAACTTGCCAACAGAAGTTATACGTATTGTTTTATCCAACTTGTCAACAGAAGCTATACATACCGTTATATCCAACTTGCCACAACTTTATATAATCGACTTTTATATGCATCCTAGTTATTGACAATTTTATTTAATCGTATATATTATTTTTATAAGTCATTGGTTTTACGTGTTTTCTGTTGCTATTGTTACAATTCATTAATTCCCATATTAGACTCACTGTAACAAAAATCTTATTTGCGTATTTAGAATCCGTGGTTTACCATTTTTGTACCTTTGTGATCTTGAAATTTTTATCATTAATACTTAACAACTACTAATATGTCTTTTATGTTTCTTAATTTGTATGTATCATCTTATTGTTTAACAATATTTTTGATTGCTGCCACATTGCTGCTGTTTAACTTGAATATTCCAGAAAGTAACCATGAACAACATTAACGATAGAAAAATATGTTTAAGGTTCAGAAATAGAGGAATATAATCATGATGCCTAAACTTAGTATAATCGTCAATCGGTTGTTAAAATCACAATTTAATGTAAACTTCGTAAGGAACCAGTTAAGAATTTAAGATTCTAGCCCAAATTATTATATACGGGAGATAACTGTGGAAGAAAAAATTTGACCTTCGGTGCTTTCCGTGTTTTACAGTAAAAAGTAATTACTAAAGTCTTGGCGAAATAAATATTTCTTTTTTAGTGATTAAATTCTCCCATCTGAACAATAAGTTTATGTCATTTATGATTTTATATTGTGAATCGAAACTCTCGGAAAAATGGGTGAAATAACGAAGATCAACGGTAGAAATCTGGTTATTTGTTTATAGATCTATTATAGCTTCTTTGACGGATTCACAGACACAGGCCATATCGCAAATCGTTTTCATACAATCATGTATACAAATAACATATACTATAAGATTATACTATAATATTGTGGTCTGTGGACCGAAACTTTTCAATTTTTCTAGGCAAATCAATCTTTCTTGACGGAATGAAGGAAATAATAAAAATGTCAAGAAATTATAACTTATGCATAGTGCCTATATAATTGAGAATAATGTTCAAGTGCCTCAGTAAAGAAAATAAATCTAAGCTAGGTTTCTCACGGGTAAACTTTCAAATGAACACCAACCGCTTGCATGAAGCACCAGCACTGTCGGCAACAACAACATTACATTGTTGATAAATATGTCTACATTAATACTTTTAAGGATGATATTCGGCCATTTATTATTACAAGTTATCGGATAGTTCTATCAGAAATAAATTCACCTTTAATAAAGTACGTAGTTTTCATAACCCGATATTCAGGTAATATATAAGGTAATTATCAAAAATAGTTTGTTATAATCTAATTTCTACTGTAATTTGTCGTACATACTTTAATGTCAAGTCAATGCAAGTCCGTGATTGACCTAATAGTACTGTCACCATCGTACTGTCACCATCGTACTGTCGTGCTGTTACCTCCGTACTGTCGTAATGTCATCATTATACAGTCGTACTGTCACTGTCACCATCGTACTGTCGGACTGTCACTATCGTACTGTCGTATTGTAACCATCGTACTGTCGTACTGTCACCATCGTACTGTTGTACTGTCACGACCATGCATTCGTACTGTCACCATCGTACTGCCGTACTGTCGCCATCGAACTGTCAACATCGTACTGTTGTACTGTCACGACCATGCATTCGTACTGTCACCATCGTACTGCCGTACTGTCGCCCATCGAACTGTCAACATCGTACTGTCGTGCTGTCACCAACGTGATGTCGTATTGTCAACACCATACAATTGTTCTGTCACTGTTACCATCGTACTGTCGTACTGTCACCATTGTACTGTCACCATCGCACTGCCGTACTGTCACCATCGTACTGACACCATCGTCTGATGTACTGTCACCAACATGCATTTGTACTATCACCATCGTACTGCCGTACTGTCACCATCGTTCTGTCGTGCTGTCACCATCGTACTGTCGTATTGTCACCATCACAAAGCCGTATTGTCACTGTCACCATCGTACTGTCCTACTGTGACCATCGTACTGCCGTACTGTCACCATCGTACTGTTGTACTGTCACCATTGTACTGCCGTACTGTCATCATCGTACTGTCGTACTGTCACCATCATACTGACGTACTGTCACCATCGACCTATTTTATTGTCACCACCATACATTCGTACTGTTACCATCGAAATGCCGTACTGCCACAATGGTACTGGCACCATCGTATTGTTTAACTGTCACCATCGTATTCTTTTGCTTTCACCACCTTACATACGTACTGTCACAGTCGTACTGCCGTACTGTCACCGTCGTTTTGTCACCATCGTACTGTCGTTCTGTCAGTCACCATCGTACTGTTGTACTGTCATCATCGTACAGTCTTACTGTCACCACCATACAGTTGTACTGTCACCATCGTACTATCGTACTGTCACCATCGTACTATTGTATTGTCACCACCATATATTCGTCCTGTCACCATCGAAATGCCGTACTGTCACTATGGTACTGGCACCATCGTATTGTTTTATTGTCACCATCGTACTCTCTTGCTTTCACCACCTTACATACGTACTGTCAATATCGTACTGCCGTACTTTCACCGTCGTACTGTCACCGTCGTACTGTCGTACTGTCAGTCACCATCGTACTGTTGTACTGTCACCATCGTGCAGTCTTACTGTCACCACCATACAGTTGTACTGTCACCATCGTACTATCGTACTGTTACCATCATACTGTAGTACTGTCAACATCGTTCTGCCAATAAAGTTAATAGAACCACGTCAAAAAGAGTGAGAACTTCTAAGCAACAACATTTCAAGGTTATGTACAACCTATTTACAACCGAATATTCATTTTCCTTTGACACTAAAAAATTGTATGATTAACATACATTGAGTTGCAAATGCTGCAAGATATTTGCAACAAGCAGAGGGAATACACTCAAATACATTAAATTGGGAAATGCATTTGACAATAACAATCAAACAAAGCAATATGCATACACTGGCGAATATGCCCTATACCTATAATCAAAATATGTATACAGCGCGTCTGCAATCCTTTGATGAATTAATCACAAAGCAGACCCGGGGATTACATTGATCAGTAATTGATTGAATTACAATTACTTTCAGATTTTATTTTAATTGATTATGATTGATAACTCAAACTTGCATCTGTAATTAATTAAATTACAATTTATTTAAGAGAGTACTATAAATTGAATATTATCATGTTGAGTAAAAATGTACTCCATATTTCATGAAAACGTTAAAATAACACTTTTTATCTTATTTTTGCAGCACAAAAATAATGTTTACAAACACTCTTTCTTTGTACATTAAAACATTTGAACAGCGCGCAGTAATATATTTATTATATATGTAATACAATTCAATACACAATTTATCACCGCCGTCTATGATGCGAAATATTATTTGAATATGTCATAATTAATAGAATACCTGAAGCTACTTAGCATCAGAGGAAATACCTTAGCAAGTAATCCTTACGAATAATTATTAATATTGACTCCGCCTTTTTTCATATGTATATTTCATATATTTCATAGACTGTCGCCTAATGTCGCAATAAACGCTAAATATTGCAATCGCAGTTTCAACGCTAAACAAAATCAAAAACGCTAAATATGGCAGTGAGTTTTTTTAAACTGGATTATTAGATCAAATAAAATGTATTGACGGTAAACTACGGTGTTCCATAAGGGTAAGGGTTCCATAAGGGTTAGGGTGCTTTATCCGAGATAAGTTAGTACAATGTCATAGCACGACAGTACGATGGTGACAATACGACAGTATGATGACGACAGTCCAACGTACTGTCGTGTTGTCATAATCGTACTGTTACCCTCGTACGGTCACCGATGTACTGTCACTATTGTACTGTCCCCATCGTACTGTCCCTCCCCACCATCGCACTGTCGTTCTGATGCCATCGTTTTGTCCTTCTTACAACATAATTGTGTCGTTCTGACACCATTGTACTGTCGTTCTAACACGATCGCACTGTCGCGCTTCACCATTTTTTTTTACATCAGTACAAGTTTTTCCTTTTATGAGAGGGCATTGTTAAAGTGTGACCTTATATGGCATGATAAATTTTACATCCATGTTAATATCTTATTATGCGCATACTTAACAGGAAGACGACAATACAACAGGAAGTGACAGTACGACAGTACAATATTGACAATACGACAGTATGGTGGCGAAGAACGACAGTAAGATCACCACATAACATGATGCTTCGCCATTGTACTGTCATACTGTCACTATTGTAAAGCCGTACTGTCACCATAGAAATTCATGACGTTCTCAGCTCTAGCGGAACACCGTCACATGAACAATTAATTTCTAATGATGAAACATGTATGCCGATTCCAACAGCAGTGCTTAGTCATTACAGATTCTAAGACGACCCACAATTTTCCCTGTTGAACATAGAAGGACCAAAAGGGTTTGTTATTATGCAATAAACTCACTGTTGAGATTCTCTATTTAGACACGTGACGTTAACATTCAACATTTGACGTAATCATTAAAATGTAACGCGCTGAAAATGAGTTATAGTTATTGAATTTATTGCCTTGTAGCGTAGCGAGTGCAACAATAGGTTCTATATGTTTAAAACATGAACTGTAACTGTGTGACTAATTGGGGTCTTCTATAATACATGTTAATATGATAATACACGTTAAAATATGATTTTTGTTTTCAAAATGGATTATTTTACGTTTTCTTGATATATGATAAAAACATGTGCGGGGATTTCAGATTGACAAATCTGCCATCTATGTTGTTTTATTTTAACATAAATCAAGCCAATCGGATAATCGTATAGATATATGTAGTTTGTGTAGTAAAATATATAAAATAGATAATAAGATGGCAGTGATGTCTTTGAGTTACTACCAGGAGATTATAAATGAAAAACTAAATAATTTATAGTTCACACTCAGAAAACATGTTTAGGTAGGAGGCAATTATCAACAGGGGAAAATATTGTAGAAGGCTACTTTTAAATATTTTTGTAAAAATTGATATTTATCGATAATTTAAGGTTGACATTTTTAGGAAGACATATATTGACGAAGACTGACAGACTGCTAACAACTGACAGCTTGCAGTCATGAACACTGTGAGCGTAAAACAATTGACTTACCACCTCTGTGTTTGATATACTCTGGACTTAACAATGCGGTTTTCTCAAGCCGACTCTTTATCTCTTCTGTGTCCCGTCCATTCTCTGCACAAACTATAAGCTCTAATAAGTCAGTCTGCCAGGTCTTTCTCAGGCGCTCTTTAAAATCTGTGTAACCTTTAGCACCTTTGCCTATTACGTTTTTCAATATCGTGTGATTCTTATCAGTTGGATCCTTACCCTGTAACATTGTATTTTATCCATAAGATTCAAAAATATTTTACCTTTATATCAACTTAATGTTCATTACATTTTAACACGTTCGGTAAGCGTTTAATTTTTGTTGCATTTGTAAGAATAAGATTAGCTTACCAAGTTCACTTTTTGAAATAACTCATACAGAAATCTTAAGATATTTTATAGAATATTTCAAATGTAAGTTACGAGCATTAAATAAGATTATTTATCAAATGCATCAGTAATTATAATACAATCAACAATTAAAATAAAAACTCACCATGTTACACATGTCATCAAATACTGACAATTGAAAAAAGTAATCTAATCGTACTGGCCTTTAAACTATTTTATATCGTACCTTGATATTCTTTCTGTCTGCGACGGTAAGTAATTCAAAGCCTGTATCACAATCAATTATAGGATCAGGATGCAAATACTTCTTGAGTGCCACATAATTCTTAATTATGGCTTTACGGAAAATCTCATTATCACAAGACTCTGCCATCTCTAGCTTTCTTAAATATAGAATTATAATTCACCATTTATTAAACAATCTACAAATAACACAGTATGGTTTGCTTGACAACATGTTTAGTGTATTAAAGATAGTTGATTTCTATAGCGATACAAATACATGTGTATATTATACTTATAATTAAATAAAATATTGAGAAATATTGTTGAAAGAAAATGCATATTCTCACTTTTCGTATTTTCATTGTAAAACATTGGTTTTTCATGTCATCGGAACATATTTTCAATATTTTCACTGAGGTCTTGACAGAATACTTTCGGCTAAATTCAGCCAATACACAATATTCAAGGGAAGTCAATCAAATTTTAATGTTTAAAAAGAGAGAACAAATTGTGGTATGAAAAATATCATATATCACTTATGGCTTATGCCGCTCATGAAATATTTATTTTCATACGTTTCGATGAAATAAATCCTGTTTTAATATATTTAAACTAGAAATGTGTCTTCAGGCCACGGATGCCCCCGCATGCAGCCAAAATTTCAGATGTTATAATATTTAGTTCCAAATTTGTTTGCACAAATTATTTTTTTTCATTTTAAGTTCAAAGCCCTTAAAACTTTTCAATGTTATCACAAACCATTTTTATACAAAGTTCAAGGCACTGAAACTTAAATAATTGAGTGTTAATCTTTTGTAAATTGCATATGATGCATATTTGTAGACAAAACAATGGCTACATACATTTCCACATAAGTATGAGTGCTGAAACTGAAAATTCAAAATTTTTCCGACATTCAAGAAAGATAACTTTGTCCAAAATCATTGAACCACGACCAAATTCAAATTTGAACTGCTTATTCCTAAGACGTATCTATATGTCAAATTTGAGTTAAATGTGTACAACCATTGGAAAGATAATGAAAGGAAAATTAAAATGCCTGATTTTTTTCAAAGTTCAAGTGGGATGACTTTATCAGCTTTCATCAAACCATGAACATATTTGAAATTGACCAATGCATTCTTATGACATATCCATATCTTTAATTTGCAGCTGTTGGGGAGATAATGAATGGGAACTGAAAATTTCCTCTTTTTTTCAAAGTTGAAAGGGCATTACTCTGCCAAAAACCATCAAATCATAACTAAATTCGAACTTGACTTGAATTTACTCATGACATATCCGTATGTGAAGTTTGAGTTGAATGTGTAATACCGTTGGGGAGATAATGAACGGAAACTGAAAATTTCATATTATTTTCAAAGTAAAAGGGGCATAACTCTGCAAAAAATCATCAAACCATGACCAAATTCAAACTAAACGACCTGTATTTTTTCATGACATATGCATATGTCAAGTTTGAGTTGAATGTGTTATACCGTTGGGGGGATTATGAACTGAAACTGGAAATTTCATATTATTTTCAAAGTAAAAGGGGCATAACACTGCAAAAAATCTTAAATCATAACAAAATTCGAACCTGACCTGTATTTTCTCATGACATATCCATATGTCAAATTTGAGTTGAATGTGTGCAACCATTACTAGGATAATGAACGGAAACTGATGATGACGGAATGACAGAATGATGGAAGGACGGAATGACGGAAGGACGGAATGAACGAACAGGGTAACACTATATGCCCCATGACTTTTTAACAGTTTACCGTTCTTATTTTATATGTTATAAAAAAGAATATTATATTCGTGTAGATGCAATACTTAATTTATTGAACTCGCTGAATAAAACAATATTATGCTCGCCAGAGGCTCGCTTAATTTATGATTTTACTCAACTCGTTCGATAAATTTAGTGATAAACCTACACTCATTCAATATCCTTTATTTAGTTTACTCACTTACACAAAATAAAACATATGGTTTCTTTATAAAACAACACTCTGTTACTGCTCTTGTTTAAGGATTCATAAAATAAACAGCGTTTTGATAATGTTTAGATTCATTGGACTTACATTCGTTTTCTTAAAAAATTAAGGGAACATAATTAAAATCTATAACATATTAACGCCAGTTTACTATTTGAAAAATTAACTTATATGTGATAGACGAAATCATTTTATTCGAAATTTTAGGAGTATTTCAATAATGATAACCTTCTTAGGTTTTGTTCATGGACATTTTCAATTATTTAAAATGGTCGCATGCCAAAACCAAAATGTCGGTTGAAAAGGTGGGTCCGAACGTTCAGTCGTTTTTTATGTTGCGAATCACCTTCTAATGTTACTGAAATAGCATTTGTCTTGATTATCAATTCGATGATTCCTATGTGTAAATTGTTAAAATAACACCCATTCAATATCATTTACATGATAAGCAGAAGAAATCTAATTTATAATTGTGAGGCGTTTATTAACTTTCAACAAGTTACAGATTTAGTTGATATATATACATACACGATAAAACATATTGCAAAAATAAGTACATATACTTTTTTCTATTGAACTTTTGTCTTTTGGAATAATTTCATCCATCTTTATATTTTATTTGGTTTACATACCCGACTACTCGCGTTCACCTATAGTTAAATTCTATTGCTTCTTCTATTTTTTGTGTGGTTTTAAATATCATTTTGACAGTCCTTTGAGCCATTGTTCCAAACTATACACCATTGATACTCAAACATTCTTATCTATTAATAAATAAAACATACAAGCCAACACGGTAATCAATGAAGATATCATATTTCTGTTTGCTTAACTACCATTAGTACTTTATAAATATAATGATTTTAAAATTGGTTATTCAACTTGCGTGGATAAGTTATTCACCTTACAACATTGATCAATTTAAAATTGATCTTTTTGATCATTTTGTTTAATCGTTTTACTTCATCTGTTTTATGTTGGTTAAAAATTTAAGTTTATATATATACAAATTGAGTGGTATGTTTGGCGTAAAGAATGATAATATACGATAAATGAACAATCGTAGCATAAGGTAAACGACTAATTATCCGTAATTATCTACAAGATTATTTTCGCCATTTCCTTAGAAGAACTACGTGCGAATGGCTACATTACGAGCAAGTTACTACGTTTTTAAACTTTCAACCAAATTAAAATTCATTTATTCATCCGATTTTAACATTACGACATTAATATGACATAAGTATAGAAAGGTTATTGGCAATAATGCAATGGGAGTACAGAGCAATAATAGTAACAATGTTCATGTTGTTTCGCTGATTGATTGTACTTTTCATATAAAATGATTATGATAAGCCTTGTGTCGATTTTTATTGTTGCTTTGGCCAAAATGAAACAAACTAAACCATTAATGCCATTGCTTCTGTTGCCGAATAGAAACTAACTATACAATAAAATACAGTTAGTTAATAATTTTACGATGTTATTACACTTTTCATCATGCAATGTTCAATGCTCGTAGCATCTCTTTGAAAATGACAATGTTTTTTGGTTGTTCAAGAACGATATAATGGTACAAACAGAACATAATAAAAATATTAAGTTTGCTTAAAATAATAGTAATGCTTTATATCATTCATATAATGATATAAAGGGAACATCAGACTGTCGTTGTTTATTGATATCTTACGTTCGATATAATAAGTTCATGTACACAACTATAATTGTAAGGGTTAACCCTAGACCTAACCCCTTACTATGACTAAGATAATAACAGAAATGACAGCTTGTTTGTTTTGAGAGATAGACCTATCCACGCGTCTCGATAAAGAAATGTGCGGTTGACTAATTCTATTTGGTTATTGTATTCAAGAAAATTGAAATATGAAACATGCGATTCCATTGAATCATTAGCGCATCTTTTATTTCCAATTAAGTGTCATACATGTACTTTGAAATCAGAAGTCAAATGATGATAATATTTGTTTTAGTCTGACTAGCACCGGTACTACATGCTGCTTATTAATGGAAAGTATGCAAAGCTGTATAATTATGTTTAATATTTTATGATAAGTGCATACAATGATATCTGATTCAAAATATTTACATTTAGATGTTGTTTTTTTGTGTTTTTTTTAGTTGTTAGGTTTATCCTTATTTTATTAAGATTCACGCCTACGGTGTCTCGAATAGCAACATAGTAGTATTTCATGTACATCAAAGTAGTTCTCTGTTTTTGATCATATAGACAGCAAATCTAGACAGCAAATCTAGGTAACAGCTAATGACAGCATATATACACATATTTTAGAGGTGCTATTGATTCAGCACAATGCATGAAAAGACCTTAACCTATGCCAGCTTACATATATTTTACAAGAAAAGGCTAAATCACATCCTATGACTCAAAATACCTCCCAATGGAGGTAAACAGAGTTGCCAGGATACACTGAATATTTATTTCAACATTAAAATGGGACAAATTCACAAGTTTTGGTTATATAACGGAATTATCGATAGTAAACTTTGCATTGTTTCGTGGTTATACACTTGGTCAAAAATATGAGTTTTTCTACAATCCAACATTATGTAGTCCTTTAAAGAAAGAAGGCACAGGCTTATTGTTCAATTCTCTTTATTCGTGTTGCCAAAAGTGCCTTCCATGTATCGCATTCTAGTACTAATTGCTGAAGGTAAAGAAAAAAGATATGCTTAGAGTATTGCCGTGGCCCACAAAACCCTATCATTGATATCAATGACTAGTGATGTGTGTCATTATATATGGGAAACATTTCCTTATGTTATTTCACCAACTTTAGTTTTTGCATATTATTATGCTCATTATCAGTATATACGTTGTTACATTTTTACATTATATCTTAACCAATTTTGCATTACTTGAATATCCTGTACTAGAACACGTTTTAACAAAATCAGAGGATGTTCAAAGTCAAGATTGATGTAACAGTTTCTATATAATTTGAAATATTTTTGTACCAGAAAGAGTTACCGCTCTTTATATTCTGCTTTCGTGAAATTGGCTCCGCCTATTAATTTTCGTCTATTTCCGTGATAATTCCATATATGGAAGTTGCAAAATCGTTTACAAATGTTAATCGCGTTAGAATGTAAAAGGAAAGTGTGGTGTTGTA